AAACAAACAAAAAAACCCCAAACAAAACAAACCAACAATCCTGAAATCCTCATAATCGCTAATGTTTTGTGGTGTAGAACCTTTAAGAGCAGGGGGAGACACACAACACAACCATGCCAAGCCCTTAAGACCTGCTTATATTGTTGTTTTTTTTTGTTTTGTTACTGCTCTGTTGGAGATACAAATGTGGTATTTTCTTGCCATATTCACCCTCTTTGGTCCCCCAGCCTTCTTTCATCAATTGTAATCCCTGCAGTCTTTTCAGTTAAGCTTTAACACTGCAGAACTGGAATAAAAATAGGCAGTTTAGAGAAAAGCAGGAATATGATAATCCGAGGCAGTCAGCCTTAAGGATATGCAGATCCAGAACACGAGCCAAGCACTAACATATTTGCTAGGGTGTTTACCTTGAGCAGCCCCTTAATAGTCAAAGAAATGTTAGCTAAATGTTTCTTGCTTCACATGCCACGGGCAAAGTAAAATATGCAGCTACTGCGCATCGTCTGAGGTGAAGCAGTTTAAGGGCTTAGAAGTCTGAGCAAGCAAGTTGCGGTAACATCAGTGTCTTGGGTAATTTTGGGCTAAGAGAGACAGCAAAGTACAGCACTAGTTTCTGCATGCTTTTTAGGTGAGGAGACAGTGTTTTCTACCTCTAAATTTACTGTAAAGAAAAGAAATCACCATGGTTGATATGAATGCTGAGCATGCTAAATTGGCATTAAGCTTATGGTGGGTAGCTCAAAGCATGTTTAAAAAAACCCCCAAACAGCAAACCTCTGGAAGTGTGCCTGTATGCCTTAACAGCCGACTGAAGCCCAAATATTTCAACGTGGAAAAAAGGTATTTGCAGTCTTTTTAGATGGGTTATTTAAGCCCAAGGTTTTCTCAAAGTCTTATTTAAAGCTTTAGTCCCTACTAAATGAAAACTTAGTAGGAACATAAACTGTAGGCGTTTTCAGTAAAAGGTTGATAACTCGTAGCCAGTACTCTGGAGGAAGGAATAATGGAATAGGTTCCTTTGGAGCTGTCTTAGACCCTTGGTTTGAGAGTCTAAATGCAAACATGAAAGAAATAGCTGTGTCCCTTCACTGCTTTGTTGGTCTGGAGTTGCTGTGTAATTGCAAAATATTGTACATAGCGTAGAAACCTTCCATGAAGCATGGTTACCCAAGGGACCAGTTTTCCTGGTCTAGCCTTTCTGAGAATGTATATCAAATTTTGGGTTTGTTTTTGGTTTATGGTGTTCGTAGAAAAACAGAGAACTAGCCAGTGGCTGGAAGATTTGTTTAGTTTTCTTTTGTTTGTAATCTGTGGGTGCTGAGACAATGTCCTGGTTGAACACAGGGGACCCTGCCTTGGCCTACATACATGTCATTGCTGACAGGCATTTGTCTAACTACATTTTTAAAAAATGCCCCGAGGTGGAGAGTCCATAGTCTTCCACAGGCAATCCTCTGTGTTGCTTCGTAGTTCTTTCTATACGAAACTTTCTACTGTCTAAAGTAAACCTCTTGCTGTAATTCTAGACAGCTTGCTTTTGCCACCACTAGACTTCTGTGTGTTCTGAGAACTGCAACCATGTCTCCCCTCAGTACTTCTGACTGAAGGACCCAGTGACAAGTGGCATCCTTCAGGGATCAGTATTTGGAACCAGTGCTGTTTAACATCTTTGTTGGAGACATGGGCAGTGGGATTGAGTGCACCCTCAGCAGGTCTGTTGACGACACCAAGCCGCGTGGTTCGATCAACACCCTGGAGGGAAGGGATGCCATCCAGAAGGACCTTGACAGGCTTGAGAGGTGGGCCCATCCAAACCTCGTGAACAAGGCAGGAGGAGGCCACCAGGATGATCCGAGGGCTGGAGCACCTCTCCTATGAGGACAGGCTGAGACAGTTGGGGCTGTTCAGCCTGGACAAGAGAAGGCTACAGGGTGACCTTGTAGCGGCCTTCCAGTACCTGAAGGGGCTACAGGAAAGCTGGGGAGGGATTTTTGACAAGGGCAGGTAGTGACAGGATGAGGGGTAATGGCTTTAAACTGGAAGAGGGGAGGTTTAGATTAGATATTAGGAAGAAATTCTTTCCTGTGAGGGTGGTGAGACACAGGAACAGGTTGCCCAGAGAAGCTGTGGCTGGCCCCGCCAGGTTGGATGAGAATTTGAGCAACCTGGTTGATTGGAAGGTGTCCTTGCTGATGGCAGGGGGGTTGGAACTAGATGATCTTTAAGGTCCCTTCCAATCCAAACCATTCTATGATTCTATGATGAACAGTGTAATTCAGTTTAGTCCTTCCTCATGGCTCAGGATATATAAGCACCTGGCCATCTTTGTCTCTTGGGTGTTGTTTGGTCTGTCCTGGGTGTGTTTTGAAGGGTAGTGCCCATAACTAGGCACGGTAGTGTCACAGAGGTCACAGTATTGCTGTCTCGAATAGAAAACCTGTCATGTAATTTAGATGTATGGTGCCATTATTTACAAATCTGATGTTATTTGATGGTACCATTATGATACCTTGAGGTTTTAGCTCTGAATTGCACAGCTCTGTCATCAAGGTTCAGAGGCTGAGATGAACGGATATGAAACATTTGAATATTTTAGGAGGAAGAGAAATGATGGCCTCCCCACTGGGCATCACTGGCACCATCTGCTGCCATCTCTGAAGGGATTGTGGCCCTTTTGCACAGAAGAACAATGTATTTTAGAAAAGACTGCCACATGTATACCAGAGCTTGCTCTTGTCAGATTTCCCTGAAACTATAAATGATTAAGCAGCTTATTTTACCTTCTCAATAACTCAAACTGTTGCTTTTAAGGAACACATCAGCTGTGTTAGACCAGGCTTTTTGGCTTCAGTACTTCTGGGCTTCCGCTGTGACAAAGTAGTTACAAAGAGGTGCTTTCTTCAGAAATTAGATTTTTTTTAAAAAAAGGGCATGAATCCAGAGAGACTGAGGAGGGTCATACGGACAGTTAGTTGAAGTGTAGGTAGAAAACCACCCAATTTTTGTAAGATGAATAAGATTGGACCAAAAGGGCCTATTCTGTATTGTACATGTCAATATGGAATATAAAGTCATAAATAAAATTCTTCCTAAATCTTCCTTATTAAAGAAGGGAGAAGCTTAGAATCTGGCCACAAAAGTGTAATGGAAGTGGAGAGGAGGGACAAACTGGTAGTGTGCTGCTTTGCAATATTGACTGTAATCACTCATCCGAGGGACCATTTCAAACGCTGCGTGTATGTAGAGTTAACATGATGAAATGTGTCCTCTTGTACAAAGTGCTGCTCCTGTCAGGCAGCAGAAAAGGCAGTTCAGAGCTTTGTCTGCATTTCAACTTACAACAGTGATGTAAGGAAAGTGGTTTTTAAATAGCATAGGATTTTTTGGTGGATTTTTTTGTGTAATGGTTTTGGGTTTGTTTTTTTTAATTCTATTTTGACTAGTAATTGCTGTAAAGGCGCCTACTTGTCTTTGATATTATTCCTTTCTGCTGGAGCAAAAGTGAAAGCAGGATTTGGAATGCCTGAAAACAACATAATCCAACTTAGTTTTTTATTTACTGATGAAAAAGGCTAATTCTAGTATCCTGTTTACTTATTAAGAGACCATGCTATTTGTATTAAGCTAGTCAACGTGATGACTTGTTCATTAATGTATTTTAAAAGTTTATTTTATTTTTTTGCAACCTTTCACTGTAATGTTACCTTAGTTCCTGTAATCATAATATTCAGATTGTATTGCGAAGGTAAATGTTATACAGTGTATTCCTTAAATGTAGAAGGTGAGCTTGTTTCAGTTTCTGACTAGTTACCTTGTCTTTTCCTTTTTTCAGGGTTTCGCAAAAATGATGAAATGAAGGCTATGGAAGTATTGCCAATTTTAAAGGAAAAAGTTGCGTACCTTTCAGGTACAGTTATTTTCTTCTGTTGTAGAATGCATAATGGTGTTGCTAGTCACATGTAAAATGGTATTTTAAACACTTACAAGTATCATTATAAAAGTCATGGAAAGCCAGGGTAGCGCTTATTCCAGTTGGGTATCCCAAACGTAACACGAGCATTGTGACAGGATCTGTGATAAAGCAGTTATATGTGTGTTGTTGAATGTGGAGCATACTGCTTGTTGCTGTCCCAGTTGTGTCCTGTCCCTCCCTGGGCATATCCAACCGCATTATTTAGAGCAACCTACTATACCAAAGTCATATTCCTTTTCTTATTTCTGGTTCTTCTGACAGAGGGTTTTACAGAAATGGCTTTGTTTCTGGCCCATCTGAATCCCTGGAGAAGTACCTCTGTAACAGAAGTGAAATTTCAGTGCATATCATTTGAAGCACACTTAATATCTTCATGATGAAATGAGTTAGCATCTAATTTTAGCTAACTCCAGCATACACCTTGAAGTTGGTTGGTTACTTAACAAGGAATAGCAGAGAATTTAAAAGTGAGGTTTAGATGAATTAATATTATAATATATTCTATAACTTGATAAGTAACTTTACACGATGGAATGATGTCTGAGGTGCTTATTTTTGTGAACTGTATTTTGGGTGTGACTTCTGAATCTGTTGGTATTAACATAATTCTCTTTGCCATAATCTTAGTGTTAGTTTTACAGGACAGTCTTGTATTTGAAAGAGGGGTTTTTTGATAAATAACTTGTCAAGAACTCCAAAAATAAGGCTCTTATCTGTAAATGTTAAAACATACAAAATTATCTGTGAAATTGCACTCTTTAGAGATTTGCTGTGCATGGATGCTGATGCTTGCAAGAACAGTGTGTCATTCACAGTACTTCATCCTGTTCTCTCTGCTGAGTCACATAGAGGTGTAAAGCAAAAAACATGGTTTGGGTATTTTTTTATTCCCCCCCACCCCCCCCAAAAGGCCTGGCAACTTTAGTGAATGATATATCAGACTGCCCAGAGCCAGTTTCCCTGGTAGTGTGGGAACTCCTAATTCTGCTTAAAACTGTATTTTCAGAGGGAATGAAGAAGAGAAAAGGGAGTTAAGCACAATATTTCAGTCCCTCATTACTCTTTCTTGGACCTTGCTTTATGGCACTTAGTAAAAATGTAATCAGTTTCCGTTCTGTCTAAAACATCTAATTTTTTAGGTTGTCCATAGCTTAGGTTAGACCCTTTAGAATGGATCTGAAAGATGATAGGTGTTCTCTAATGTTAATTTGTAAGCATATGGCATTCTCAAAAGGCATTAATTCTGTGAAAGTGGGCCAAATGAAAGCTGAAGATAAATTTCAGGGGAAAAGATGGATTATGAACTAAAGCAGATGAGGTCCAGGCAGGAAGAAGTGGTTGCCAACATGCCTGTGTGAAGGTAGCAACTTCTGACAGAAGAATGGAGCAAACAGCTGTGGGCAGCAGGACTGCCTGGAACTGATCTGCCAAAATCCGTAGTTTCACATTTCCATTGCAAGTGAGACTCAAATGAAATGAGATACGTTAGTAGTGCAAGTGATTAAAAAACAAACAAACAAAAACACAAAACAAAAAACCCCAAACCAAACAAAAAAACACATAACAAAGCAGACAAACAAAAAACACCCTCAACAAAACTACCACCACTACTGGGGCTTGATCATTGTGGAACTGGAACTGTCAAGCTTTGTATCTGGGAACACAAAGGTAAGGAAAAATGCTGGATTACTGACTTAGAGGCTTTCAATGTACCTCTCTTTTTTTTTTTTTTTTTTTTTTTAAATTTTTTTCTCTCTCCTTCAAAAGTACAAGTTTTGCTCAAGTATTGTTAGTATGTGAAAGTAGAATATCTGGTTAAGGTCTGTGGAAGTAGGACAAATTTATTGGGGATATCTCTACTAAAACTCTTACAGAAAACTCTCAAGGTACCTCTACTAAGAACTTTAGTAGTCCCATGAAGCTTAAGGCATCCACAAACATCACTATAATTTCTGTGTTTTTGTTCTCACTCATTTATATTGGAGTTCTGATAGGAATTGTTGCAACATATTCATTGCTGATTGTCAAGTACCTTCTGAAGTAGAAATAAAGTATGACAATCAACAGTGCAAAGAAATGGTTCTTTTTTTATAGAGCAGGAAATTCACACAAATAACACAGTCTTAAAAAAAAAATAATCATGGAGCGTTTAAGATGCTCAGTTCACTTCCCCAGTCTTTTCTCTGTCTTTCTCTGCTGAGACCTTCCTTCTCCAAGTTAAATGAGTAAGTATGTGCTGTATAGCAGTGTATTCATCTTTGTGTTCTTAGAATACTAAAGACACTGATCTTTCCACAATGCCGACTTTCTTAAACACTGCTTGAGACTAGCTTATCGAGAGATGGCTATATAAGGACAAACCATCTTAGGGGGAGACCTGGACAGGCTGGAAGAGTGGGCTAGCAAGAACAGCATGAGGTTTAACAGAGACTAGTGCAGAGTCCTGCACCTGGACCAGCAGGCTAGGGTCTGTGTGGCTGAGGAGCAGCCTTGCTGAAAAGGAACTGGGGATCATGGTGAACAAAAAGCTGAACGTTATTCAGCAGTGTGCTGCTGCAGCAGCATAAGCAAATTGGATCCTGGGCTGCATCCACAGGGGCATTGCTGGAAGAGATGGAGATATGATCATCCCATTCTACTCGGTGCTTTTCAGGCTGCACCTGGAGTACTGTATCCAGTTCTGGTCCCCACAATTGAAGACAGACTCAGACAGACTGGAGAAGGGTCCACAGGAGGGCCACAAAGATGATCAGAGAGCTGGAGAACCTGCCCTATGAGAAAAGACTGAAGGAGTGAGGTCTTTTCTTCCTGAAGAAGAGAAGGCTCAGTGTGTACCTCATTACAGTAGTTGAGTACTTAAAGGGCAGCTGCAAAGAGGACAGAGGCTCTCTCTTTTCAGGAAGCCACATGGAGAAGACAAGGGGCAAAACATACAAGTTGCACCAGGAGAGGTTTCATCTCAATATAAAAAAGAAAATTTTTTAAAGTAATAATTCACCAGAATAATTGCCTCAGGGACACGGTGGAGTCCTCATCACTGCAAGTTTTCACAATGCAGTTGGACAGGGTGCTGAATAATCTTCTCCAGCCTCCCTTTCCCACAAAAAATAAGATCAGATAATCTTTCAAGGTCCCTTCCAGCCTGGGCTATTCTGTGACTATTTTGTGGTTCTATGAGAAGTTTAAATCTGAAGTCATCACTGAAGGAGTTGCTAGAAATTCTGACTCCTGGCTCCACCAGACTTTTGGGATCCCACTGCGACCCTTCTACCTGCATATTACTCCTGATTCCAGCACCAGACTGTTTCCACCACAGTCATCTCCTAAGCCATTCTTGAGATGATGTTTTGATCCAATTAGAAATACTGGTATTTTAATCAAGTTAAAGCTCTTGGTAACAGATACCTCCCACTGAGGTACCACTTTGACTCCAAGTGTTCTGTGTTGTGATTAACCTGTATTTATGAGAGTTTCCCTTTTCTCTTCCAACAGGTACCTCTCCAGTCTGTGTTCGCCTGAGTTAGGCTGTAATACTTTATTGCTTTGTTTCAGTCTTTGCTTTTCAGTTATTCCTTTCATTTGTTTGTTTGATTCACTCTTGCTTTCTCCTCCCATCATCACAATCCAATTTATCCCCCTTTATTGAGCTGTTAATGATGTGTTTTTGTAAATGAAATAAATGAGTGGATTTTACATAATTTTGTGTATCTGAAGATGTATTTAGATAGAAGAGAATTCTTTCTCCTTGCCTCTGTTATCTGTAGCACCAGACGGAGTAGTTTGAGTTTTTTAAAGATTAATTTAGAACTAAGTTTTTTTTACCACAAACAATGTACAAACGTACAGAAGAACAAATCATTCTGTGAAGTATTGTGAAGTGCATCTTGCTGTATGTAGGTTGATAACTGCGAAGTTCCAAAGCTCACCAAGCTAGCCTAAATGGTGGTAGCTCTGCATATTGATTCTGAAATAAATTCTGTATTAGAAATACTTGACCTTCATGAAACCAGTCTGACAGGCTGGACTGTTTTATCTTGTATTGGTCAAAGTAACAAAATAACTTGATGTGTGGACTGTAAATGCTTGGGTGCAGCTCCACTGTGAATCCTGTGTGTTGTTTTCCTAAAATTACCAACAGATTGGTTCTCCAACAACAACAAACAAACAAAAAGAGGGGGAGAAGAAGCAAAACCTTCCTGGATCTGATTTTTACCTAACTGAGAAATAATCTACTTGGATATTGGGTGTCTCACCACCTGAAGTAGAAAAGCCTCTTAGAGATGTAACCATGAAGTACAAAGGGAGTCTTGGATGCATTTTTTGTTGTTGTTGTTCAGTTTAAACTGAACTCTGTTGAAGTACAGATGCTGTTACATCTCTACACATACTTACATGAGGAGAGCATTACAAGGTGCAATTACAAGGTGCAATTGCCTTGGTTTTGTATGAGGATATAGCACTTGATAACTTGTCCTGCTTTTCAAACATGCCCTAAAGAAAAGCCCACTGTTTAGCTTTGCCTGAGTACGTTGAGACTAGGTAAAAAGGTGTTTTCTGAAAAAACAGCACTACTCAGCCTGTTGGATTTTGGTGCCATTTGGAGACCATTGACAAGACTGCTGTTAGTGATGTGCACTAGACAGAAGTGATTCATGTTGGGTGACTCATGTGAGTTCATCAGCTACTGATATGACACATCTTGGCATAAACAAAGATGGAGAGAATATCTCAGTATGGTGGGGAGATATAAAAGGAAAGGGGTAAAAATGGAAGTCTCACTGATGATAGTAGTAGCTTAATATGTTTTTGTTAAACCAAGGCCAACAGGGGCATGAGCTGAATAAAGGCTGTTGTGAGACAGGAAATTCCCACCTGATGCCTCATGCATTTTTGCTTTTAACATTCCTGTTTGTGTATGACACAGGAGCATCGGGAACAAAGGAAATGAGAGGTATTTATTGGAAAAGGCCTACGAAAGCTTTCAGTATAGTTGATGCGGGGGGGGGAACCCTCTTCAGGACTTTTTTGCATATTTACAATTTTGGTACCTGATTTCAGATAGTGAATTTTTTTTCACTGAAAATCAGGGCTGTATTAATTTCTTCAATACTCATCTATATGTGAAATTTGCATGACAAGTTTTGTCTCCAACATACAGAAATTTCAGGATGTGATTTATCAGAAACGCAAGCACTGTACTTTAAAAATGGGTCTCCTCTCTGGTGTATGCAGACCTGGGAGCCAACTAAAGTGGCATCCAAAATGACATAAAGAATATGGGTTTCTTTCCTCTGCTGTGTCAGAAAATTGCATGATACAGGAGTTGCTGTGCAGGAAAGGCCCAGAGGACTGATCTGAGGTGACTGTATGTAACAAGGCATTTGTTTAAAACAATTGGAGAGTGTTGAAGGTGATTCAGCTTATGTTCTTCCCTGTTAGCTGGTGCTTTTGAAAGAAGAATTTCCACCCTGAGCAATCAAGCACTTTTTCTGGGAGGGGTGGAATCAGTAGCATTACCAGTTGAGATGTAAATTTTTAATATTTGTAGCTAATGGCCTGCAGTGCACTGATGGCTCTGGAGCTGAGCAGAGGCCTGGGCTGTTGGATTCCCAGTCTTGTCATTCATCCTTCCTCTCTCGTGCGGCTTCTGTCTTGTTTTTATCTTATCACTTGCTATGTAAAAATCCTCAGAGAGCTCTGCTTGGCAAGTGGGTCAGGATGGTCAAGACCATCCCATTAGAATGGGACAACTCCGTTGTTTTTAATCTCATCTTCCACTTAAGAGGGTCAGGAAAAATAAGAATATGACTTTTCCTTTTAAGTTTAGGTTTCTGGCATTGCAGCTTGACAGAAATTCAAAGCTGCTTTTGCTTCTTCTGAGTTTCATTTGGTGCCTCACAGGGAACGTGTCCAGTGCAGACAATCCCTGGGGACCTTGACAGCCAGGCACAGTGTCTCGAGCAAGCACACACAGACCCTGTTGAGGAGGACACTGATGAGTTTTTTAGTGGCGAGTTCTATTCATTTGCTTTTGGCCTTCCTTTCTAGAAATTTTTTTAAAACTTTGTTTGGTAACATGGTTTTACAATGAGAAGCTGATTTACAATGAGAAATCTTTCAGGACAGAGGATAGTGTTTTTCTGCGTTTCCATGGGACAGGGGAAAACAGTCCACACATCTGTGTTTGAGAACGTGTGTGTGAAATTTAGCTTGTAAGAAGGTGTCTGTTATACAAGTTTTAATACAGGCAGCCTACTGACTTGAATTTAGCATTTAGTAATAGTAAAAGTTGGTTGTCATCAGCAAGGGGTTGGATGTGAAATTGTGTTTTAATGTTCAACTGCAGTAACTCTATGTGATTTAACTAATGAGATGCATACATTTAAGTGGAACCGTGCAAAGTCAGGGGTTTGGGTTTTTTTGGCTTACATATTGAGTGGTTTCAGTATTTCCTTGTTTTGTATTGCTAACAAAATTCAAAACTATAAACTTGACAATTCAGAATCTGCACATCAGAACAGGAAAAAATATAAATTAAATGCCTTAATAATATCCACCTACTCATCTAGTATATGCATTGGGTGTGAAACACTGTACACCTACACTCTGTGCTAGTAATGAAGTTAATGCTGAATATCCTCTAAAAACTTGCTTACAAAGTAGCATAACTCTAAATTTAATCTGTCCAATTGCTGATTCAGAAGTTAAATACAAAGCACCATTGCTGGAGATGTCATACTGCCAGTCAAACCTGAATGTGACTCTATTGTGTAAGTGTAATGCTATAGTTTTTACTTGTTTCAACTTTTTTTGACCGATACTTTCTCATTGTAAGAATTGTGACAATGTGCTGATTGATACTCCCAAAGTTCAGTTTTAAGCTGGTCTCTAAATGATAGTGTTAGCATTTAACTTGAAATAACTTATTTTTTTTAAGTAGATACTCATGAAACAGTATAGGACTTAAGTTTTCCAAGAGTATTCTGAAGACTAGGTTTGCAAACAAAAATGGTGTTATGCTGTGGGATCTTTTAACATGTTTAATTTTTCAGGTGGCAGAGATAAGCGTGGAGGTCCCATTCTAACATTTCCTGCTCGTAGTAATCATGACAGAATACGGCAAGAAGACCTTAGAAGACTAATTTCATACCTAGCGTGTATTCCTAGGTAAGTGAAGGTCACTTGATAAGCTCTGAAGCTATAAAACAAAATAAATTGATTATGTTGCAGTGTACCCACAAGCTAGAAGACCGGACCGGTTAAGAAAATGAGCAGATTCATACCAAGTTCTGTCAGTTACTGTTTTCAAAATACTTTTTGGAAGAGACTTAAATAATTACTCTGCCTTGTAGAAGAAAGGTTGTTGGCAGAATGGCTGGTATGCTTTATTTGGAGGTAGTTAGTGTCTTGGAAATGGCACTGCCATGCCATGTTGCTGTCACTGTGTTGGAAATTACAAATGCAGCTCAAAGGCTTTAGTACATCAATAACTAGAAACATGCTGGTCGTCATTCACAGTGTACCTTGTGTGGGCTGAGGTCAGCACAACACTCCTAACTGTTATTTTTATTAGATAAGGTTATAGTGTTCTGATATAGCACAGGAATGAGGAGAGAGATATATTAAATTGCTTGTACAGGTCTCAGATAAACCTGTGGAGAGATCAGTGAAAGTACTGATATCACTTGATTATCAACAACTTAAGCTATGAATTACAATGTGCTATTTAAATAAATTGGCAAGTCAAATCCAGTGCTTGTGTGTGTATGCACACACACACACACACACATATATATATATGAAGTTATATATATATATATAGGCATTTTTTAAAGTTATATATTATATCTATGTAAAAAAGTTTGTTCGCATAGAACTTTGTTTCTGGTAGTAACTGAATTGAGGACAAAAATGATCATAAGACCCTGACTTCAGGTCTGTCTCGGAATCTGCCAGCATTTGGTGCAGACGGGAGCAATGCTGACTGTTCTTGCATTTGTTTGCCTGTGACCTCAAGGAGCAGTTGTCATTACAGTTGAAATAAATCTATTATACAACATTCCTGAATGCAATATATCCCATATTTCTGTAATGTGTTAATTTATACGCAGTCATCTTTGCACCTGATGTAATCAGATGTCACTTTCAGATTGACAGAAGTGCTTTCGTAAAAATAACTTCAGGACATCTAGTTGAGAGTGTATATGGCCTTTCTCAAGAGCAATTGTTGTTAATTCAATTATTCTAGTCTTATTCCAATTTGAATTGTAGGAGAGTTTAGTACTTTTTTAATTTTAACATTAACTGGGAGATTTTGGAGAGGTAGGAGGAGGAGAAGGACAGGAAGAAGCCTTAAGACTTTTACTTCTGTTGTAGTTTGACTTCATATTTGAATGCAAGATGTATTCTAGTCCTCTAGAGCCTCAAATTACTAGAGAAGTTAATAGATAAATATGCATCAAGATATGCCAAAGAGAGGTTTCTAGAAATAATCTGGGAAAATACAGGGGTCCTCTGGCAACAGGTGTATGCTGGTTTAGCATCAGTAGATTTAAAATAAAAAGAAAGTTAGTTCATATTTTATGTCTCTGTAAACATGGTAAAGCTTTGAGAATAAAGGGAGCTTTATTAAAAGAAAGACTCATTTTCATACAGGTCGTGTTTTAGGGACTGATCATGCAACTCTTGCTGATTAAGAAGTCCCAATTGGTGCCAATAGCCCCAAACACTTGGTCTGTCTATTAGTTATTGCAGCACTGTTACTCTACGTAGCTGAAGTTGCAGAGGTATGAGTTGTTTGGCAGGAGATCTAAACACTTCAGGTGATTCAGTCTCACAATAGATATTGCTAAACTTAAGTCAACAATGCTGACTGGACGAGGCATTAGTGTAGTTCAGGTTTACCTAGCAGTTGACCTTGTCTGACTAAAGCCTTCCGGAACAATTTTTGTGATCCTTGGCCAAAAGGGATGAATCTTTTGTTAGCTGTTAGGGCCACATGACAGGAGGACACATGTGCATTGCATCACATGATGAGGGGCTGCTTTGTACAACCCAGGAGACTGGGTGAGCTAGCCTTGTGTGAACTAGTGCGAGCGCCTCCTCACGCAGTGGTCAGTTTGTGTGGTAGGATAAGGGTGGGATGAGCAGCTCTCAGAATAGCATGCAGCCTTTCAATAATGGGTGTATCTTTAAAACAGTAGTTGGTTTTGTCCTTTAATCCTGTGAGGCTGTTAGAAAACATTTTCACCATGGTCAGAAAATTGTATGGTGTAGCCTACATGTATTCCAAGCTAGTCAATTCTAGTGTATTTTCCTGCTACCATTGCCATTTTTGGCATTCCTATGGGCAGGTGGGACAGCTAGCATTTATCTTGATAAACTCCTTTTTTAAATGGTAGCTTTGTGGGGTTTTATGTTGGTGTGGGTTTTTTTGTTTGTTTGTTTTTTGGCTTTTAAAAACAAATTTTAAGAAGCTTCTCTTCTAAGAAACCTGCATTATCACTTCTTGCAGAAGCTTTTCTGCTGTCTCGTATCTGTCATAACTCGTCTTTCTACAGTGTGGCAAATGAGACTGTGAAGCTTCCCTACTTCTTGGACACTGAAAATCTAACCACATGAACTTTAGAATAGCATTTACATTAGTCACATCCCTGAAAATGACTCATGTACTCAAACAATGGACACTAGGTCTTTTTTGATAGTCCATTGGCTATGATGCATGGGTTTTGAAATACTTTCCCTTTGCATGTTAACAGGGTCAAGTAGCGAATTCTACTGGAAAAAATTTGAAATTTCTGGTGTTGGTGGTGTTTGCCATTTTAATCAGTGGCAAGCACTAAGTGTACCAAAGGTATTGATGAGAAGAAATTAAATCTGTCATTCTCAGAAGAGTTGCCAGAGAATTTAGGTGTAAGATCTGTTGTCTTTTGGACAGCAAAATTGAGCTCAAATTTTATAGAAACAGGTTGATGTGGTTTTCTTCACAGCCATAAAATGCTTTCTTATCCATTAACTATCCACAGATCGATCCTGTTACAGAAGGAATTGTCTATAAAGGGTTTGTTTGTTTGTTGTTGGGTTTTTTTCCCCCTCTACGTACTAACACTCAGGTAATATGGGACTAGATCTGAGGCAATTTTAAAAAGTTGCAGAAGTGGTAGGTAAGAACAGTATGCCATCTTCTGTCTTTTAGAGGATCCCCTCAGTCATCAGAAAGGCATGAATATTGTCATCAGTAAAGCGTGTGTGTTCTGAGGAGTCAGTTGTAAATGAATTACATAGTGCTGCTTCAGTAAATGCTGTGTTTAATGTGTGTGTAAGGTGAAGGAGAAACAAGACTGGCAGATTAATACTTGTGAAGATAAACAATGAAAATGAAAGAGGAGATAAAGGCAGATTAACAAATTAGCAACAGATGTAAAGCTATCACCCACAATGTGGCAGGGGAGCGAGGGAATCTTCCTGAGAGGTTCATGAGGTCTGCTGTATGTGTCAGCTAGTTGACAGTGTGACCCTAGGGTGTAACAGTTTGCTGAGGAGGCCACGTTCGTTAGGCAGTGGTGCAGTAGAGTGCTGTGTCTGAAGTTGTAACGCTTGCTTGATAACCTTTTCTTCTTTCTTCTGCAGTGAGGAAGTATGTAAACGAGGATTCACCGTAATTGTAGATATGCGTGGTTCAAAATGGGACTCCATAAAGCCTCTGTTGAAGATTTTACAGGAATCCTTTCCATGTTGTATTCATGTTGCACTGATAATCAAGCCAGACAATTTCTGGCAGAAACAGAGGACTAACTTTGGCAGCTCTAAGTTTGAGTTTGAGGTAATTTCCCCCATGGTATACAAATTTACATGTATTTCATAGTTTTAAGAGTGCTTGCTACTGATCAGCATCTTGAAAACTCTCAGATAAATTATGTTCTAGATGAGAGGAGAGGTACATTAGGACAGTGGTGCTAGAGGGAATGTGGTTTTCTTCGTGTAGTTAGGCTAGATAGTTGTGCATGTTGTCATTTATATTCTTTTTCTGAGCATGAGAAAGATGGAATGAAGAGTTTTACCTCAGTGGTAAAAAATAAGATTTCATCTGTTTGTTGTCTTCGCCTGCATTGTGGTAATCATGATACCACCAGCATCCAGAGGAAAACAGCCAACTGAACCTTGCTGTTATCTTCCTGCTGCTTTACAATACACAAAGTCACAACTTAATCGAAACAGTAGTCAGAAGAGTGGTTGCTGTTTTCTTCTTAAGTGTAGTGAAGTAATGAGAGAAGTATTTTATTTCTTTTTGGGGGGAAATATCTGCATGACAGGAGTCTGATCAGAATTGATATTTGAAAATAAATGTTTGAGAAAAGCAAAGTCACATGGACTTCATGAGCAAAATGGTCAACTGTTAAAAAGGGAAAAACAAAAACTTGAAAGAAAATTTCAAATTCATTTCAGTAACAGATTTTTTTTTTTCTTTCATTTTTGTTTTTTAGACAAATATGGTGTCTCTGGAAGGCCTTACCAAAGTAGTTGACCCTTCTCAGCTAACCCCAGAATTTGATGGCTGTTTGGAGTACAACCATGAGGAGTGGATAGAAATCAGAGTTGCCTTTGAGGACTACATTAGCAATGCAACCCATATGCTGTCCAGACTGGAGGAACTGCAAGATATATTGTCAAAAAAAGAAATGCCTCAGGACCTGGAAGGTGCTCGCAATATGATAGAGGAGCATTCACAATTAAAAAAGAAAGTAATTAAGGCACCTATCGAGGACCTTGATGTGGAAGGACAAAAGCTGCTCCAGCGGATACAGAGCAGTGATAGCTTCCCCAAAAAGAACTCTGGTTCAGGGAATGCAGACTTACAGAACCTTTTACCCAAAGTATCCACCATGCTGGACAGGCTGCACTCAACACGGCAGCATCTGCATCAGATGTGGCATGTGCGGAAATTGAAATTGGACCAATGTTTTCAGCTCAGGCTGTTTGAGCAGGATGCTGAAAAGGTAAGGGACTGGGCACGAGGAGCATAAATGGGTGCTGCTTGACAGACGTGAAAGAAGTACCAAGGATAACTGCAAATAGAAACTTTTGTCTTTAGAGTTAATCACTAGCATTTTAATGAGGAAAAAAGTATTTCTTGATTGAAAGTGACTCTTAGTTTTCTGGAGTAAAGGAGGTGGAGTGGTAATTCTAAGCTGTAAAGAACACAGGTGGCTCTCACCAAAGAAAATTTTAAGTGGTAGTGACTTTAAAGCTTTTGCTTTGGTAAGTTTTTGTTCCAGACAGATGCTTTTGCATGCATCAAGTGAAGATGAATGCTGTATACTTCATAAATACAGATGACTAAGGACTACATTGGTCACGTTTTGAGTGACCCTTGGGGCTTGAATGATAGGCAGTCAACAAAAGTCTGAAGGGGCTGACATAGGGAAATGCTTCAGTGAAGCAGGATTTGAAGTCCCAGGCTAAAAACTGATGTATCTCTTTTGACAGTGCATATGTCATTAACAGGGGACTGAGTGATCTGGGAGTGTTTTGGGCTAACCAGTCCCTTCAAATGAGAAAGCCTTTGATTGTCATGGAATTTGAACAGGAAATATGTCAGACAGTGAACTTCTAGATAAGCTCAAATAAGACCTGCTTTCATATAGAATAGTTCTGCAATCACTTATTATTAACTTGTTACCATGGAACAAGTAGCTTTAAGGAAGGGTGGGGAGTTTTTCTCCAGGAGGAGTAGTAACAAGGCTATGCAGTCAAGTGGTAAGTATGGTCTTTGTCAAATTTCTTAAAATATTTTGTGTAAAAATGCCTGAACTGGGTGAGACCAAAGGCCTTCAGTAATGGTCATAAGCAGGTGCATGGGGAAGAGTAAAAACAGAGCAAACTTCTATAATACTTCTTCTTCCTTCCTCTGTTTTCTTCCCCTGTACTGTCCCTTACCCTCATCGTTTCAGCTCAGGGATTTTCTTTACACTGCTCTTAATGTTTTCTGCTGTGTTTAAAAAATAAATGATTTTTTTTGAAGTACCATTTAAAGCAAGTGTTTACTCAGTGGGTATAGCTGAAAATAGTAGGGACATGTGAAGATTTGAAAAAAATCTGATAAAGTGAATTTAGAGTTATAAAATTATGTAGAAAATAACAAGCTGGTCTAGTATTGTTCTTTCAAGCCTGAAATGCTTTTTGGCAACCTCTTAGCCACTTAATTACAGCATTAAATACTCTTTATTACAGCATGAACAAAATTTATTCTGATGATGCTCACATGATATTGAAAGGATACGTTCATTTACTCATGTAAAAGTTGCCCACATAACTTGAGCTTTATGAAACTCCTTGTGAAATACTTGAGCCTGTGGGATTGATCCTGCCATGTGGTTGCTTAAGCTCTGTCCTGGCTAAGACAGGACAAGACACAGCCACTCAGTTCCCTGGGTGGGAACAGACACTGCGAGTGGCTGTGTCTTGTTTGGCTGCCAGCTAAGTTAAACTATCACAGCTCCTATCTGTGTTTTCTAGGTTCCTGATTCCAATAATAAGTCTATATTAAATTAACACGTCTTTATTTCAAAATAGAGGGAAATGTTAGGCACCTCAAAATGGGGTTGACAGCAGCTAGCATACCTAGGACTTTATTCTCTTATCAACCAGTAGAAAAAGATTAAAAAGAAGGTTTGTGTAGTATCCCAACTCACTTTTGGATTAAGGCCCTTGCCTTGGTCTACTTGCAGCTTTTATTTCACTGCTAGTGTCAGGTTAGATTGTGTAGCTCAGGGCTTCTTTATCAGTGTATGTCTGTGTGGTTTATTTAGGTGTGGGAAGGGGCTGGATCTTTGTTGGAAAAGTGTATTGGATGGAGGGGAATAAACATGTTTTGGAGGACTTGTACAACTCTGCTCAAGAAATCTGGGCTGGTTCAGGAGAAGAGAAGGCAAAAAAAGGGATGAGGTAGGAGGGAATCTGATTGGAATTGCTCTGTAGGTATCTGAAGGCAGCAAAATCAGACTACCTGGAGAAAGGTGATCACAAGCAGGACCAGTATCTACTTTGAATAATGTTGTAACACATTTTCACTGTACTCTAGATAAGAAACTGAAAATTTCAGGAGTATGTGATCATCTGTCTCTGTTGTCTAAGCTCTTAAAACTTTTTTTTGTTTTTGTTTACAGTCCTTACCATATTGTGGTCTGATTTGATTTGTCAAGTATCTAGATAGAATAATGGATTTAATAATATTGCTCTGTTACCAGCATGTTTTAAAAGATGCTTAAATGAGTACTTACTGCTCATTGCTACCATTTTTTTTCTGAACAAGCTTTTTCAGCTTATCCAGAAAGTAGGTGGGTCTTTTGAGCTGAGACATAGCAAAGATTTCAAGACCATTGTCGGGGGTGGGTGGGTATGTGTGTTAAACTTAACCTTTTGCTTTGTTGCTTGGTCTTTGAAAACTTTGTTTTCTAGTGCCACTGTTAACTTACCTATGTACCTCCATTGATGGTCATTGTCAGATAAGATCTTTCCTAAAATGCTTGAATATTAAAATACTTAAAAAAAAAAAAAAAAGTATTTAGATATTATCCTTAAGCTTGTCTGGAAGAAGGTAGTGTGTAACTGTGCTCAAGTATAGTTATAAAAATCTGTTTAGCAATAGAAAAGTTGTTTTCAAATCTGCTGTAAAGTTATGAACTAAAAATATTAAACTTGCTGCTGAAGTACTTGATCAGCAAGAATGAATTTATATTTAATTTCCATGAGTTGCCATTTTCATTCTAAATTACTAAGCTGCTGACGTCATGAAATGCTGATACAAGAGAATTTGTAAGCTTGGTAACTCAGGGCTGTGCTGCAAGCCTGTTTGTTTACTATGACTTCTTTGTAGTAATGAAGTTTATGACTTTATGATTATTACTTTACTGTAGCTTGTTGAGATAACTACCCATAGTAAAGATTTAACAGCCTCAGATGTTCTGTCCAAAAAGTCAGATTTCAGCAATGATTTGGTTAAAATGTATGGTAACTTACAGTGGAAAGATCATTAGTCTTAATTTTCATGGCCTTAGACTCTTTCTGTCTTCTGTGTTCACAGATTTCTCACATTACTTGTCTATGATTTCTGCCATAACAAATTAGTGGGTTTTTTTCTTAATATTTTTTTGTAGATGTTTGACTGGATCACACACAACAAAGGTCTGTTTCTGAACAGCTACACAGAGATCGGAACCAGCCACCCCCACGCGATGGAGCTTCAGACACAGCACAATCACTTTGCCATGAACTGTATGGTAAGAACAGGCATCACCTCACAGCACTGACACATTGTCTATTTACTCTGTGTTAAGGTATAATTTGTAAATCTTACACATAAATTATTCCTCCTGTTACAAGTAGTGCAGATTTGTATATGAGCAGTGAAATTATAAAACACAAAGAAGGAAAGTAGCCAAGTACAGAGATATTGTGATCAAGCAACAAGATTATTTTGACCAACAGCAGTGTTCAACACAACCTCAGCATTTCTCAGATATAAACTTCCAAACTTCTAGAACCTGGCATGTGTGTTAGAGTACTGCTTTGAGTCTTTTAGGAAATCTCAGAGAATCGTGTAATACGGAATTTAGCACTCTATACAGAAAGAAATAACTCTAAGGATCTTCTGAATAGATTACAACTCAGAAAAAAATTCTGAGAAGTAGCGATTGCCAGCTGAGCCTGATGCAGTAGTTTTCCATATTTTTAAGGAGACACATTTCTCATTTCTTGCTCAGTAGAGTGGAGCTAAAACAAAAAAAAAAACTTTGTCAAATATGATCTTAGAATGAGCTGTCAGTAGGCTACAATTAAAAATTTGGAATTTAATTGGCAATGAAAGCTGCTTATTTTCAGTTTCATGAATTTCTGTTTGGACATGAGGACTAAATTCTCAAGTACATTTTAGGTCCTTCCCAATAGCAGGCTTGGAGGTGTTTAAATAACTTTGGGCAACTGGGCCTAAATCCAGTCCCTGGCTGTCAGCTCAAAGAAGGAAGAACACTACCAGTCTTGTTAGAAATTAACATCCTTGGCAGTCCACGGATGGGAGCTGAATTAAAGTATGGCTGAAACAACCAACTATTGCAAGAGGATGTTTTGCAGGACTCCTAATCATACAAAGAGAGAGTGGCAAAGTAAACTTGCCTAGGCTGTGTGTCTTGCTGAAATAATGGAAGGACTAGTGTATGGTATAGCTAGAGTTAAGGCAATAGAAGACATGAGTAGCGAAGGTGTATTTTCTTCTTTTGCAACTCAGCTGTATTTACAAAAGTTTTTTAAAAAAAATATTAAGTTTTTGGAAAGAGTAAAACAAATGCTGGGAAACATTGTTACTAAGTTATGTAACGTCCTATATGGATGTAACTTTGACCATTAGGTTTGGAAGGTATATATTCACTCTGTGGCCACAGGGAATTGCTCCTTTATGGAGTACCTCAATTGTTGTTGCTCATTGCTCTGCATATGAAGTAGAGCAGAAAGAAACTCACAGGAGGACAGTAGGTGTCATTGGCATGAGATGACTTTTTGAATCTAGTAATTTTGGACAGCCTTCCAGGCAATTCTTGGGCTTGTACTCTAAAGGTTAAATTCTTCTTCTGTCAGCCTGTCCTAGAATTAGTCACTGTTGTTCTCTTTTCTTCAAATCAGATGACTTTTCCGCACCCCCCACCCCCCCTTACTACCATACTGTTCAGAGCCTATCAACAGTAGGAAGCACTTGAGCAATGTAGCATAATCCCTCTTGCTCTGTTTTTGCTGTTAGTCTTTTACTGCTAATCTTTGTTTTGCCTGCAGTAGTCATATGCCTTCAGTACAGAGGGCTTTTTCTCAGCCTGTACAATGATTTCTTGAAGCATTCAAGGAACAGCTTAAATTTGGGGCAGATTAAGCAGTCCAAATATTTAAGAGGGGGAGGAAAAAAGCTTCAGTTTTTTAATGTGTTTCTGTAGCACAGCCCCACCAAAAAGTGATTCTTTGACACAGAATAGGAAAATACAAATTCAAAATGATCAGTCCCTGATTTTGATGTAAGCAGTGTTCAGATTTTCTGGGGTTTATTTGGTTAGATGACAAAAGCCTTACATGTAGATTAGTGGGAAAGATTAAACTGAATGTGACACAAAAAAAAAAAAATGATGTCAGCAATTAAATTTTGGCAGGCCTTATTTTTCATTAGCTTTTAACTGGAAAAATGTTGGACAAGCTTAACTCCTGCAAGCATGTTCAGCTTATTTCTGAGCACTCTTCACATATGCTGTGCTTAACAAGCTACTATTTTTTCACTGTTCCTGTCAGTGTAACTCTTCAGTAATCAGAGTTGATTTAAGATCTCTTTTGTGAATGCTTTACCACTAGAGATGGGATATAACTTCTAACCTATCTACAACCATGCAAATTTATTCAATTGCATGGGGTAGAGGAAGGAAGAGTGGCAACTATGTATTAGGTTTATTATGTGCAGAAGATTTTGAAGACTTTTCATTGTGGCCTTAATTGGATCCTAATAGATCTTACTTTCCAGGCCATTTTCTTAGACTCACTTTAGGTGGGGAAGTGCTGTTAAAATAAATGCTGTCCAAGCAGCTAAATACAACCTCTTGCACTTGCTCCCAGCTTAACCATGATAATTGATGTTGCAGCTGCTTTTCCCAACGCACTGTGGTTGCCACAGGGCACATGCTCCCTTCACAGCAGGTGCTACCCTCTGTCAATAGCTGGCTGTCCCATCTCCCCTTCCTTCGCAAGTAGCAGCTCTGCTTTCCAAGAGGTGCAGGAGGGCACCTTCTGCAGCTGCTTATGCCAGACTCGGGTGAGAGAGAGCGACAGCCTTTGAGTGCGATGCCAAAATTTTAATCTGGTCTTCCAGACTGAAGTGAGCCACCTGGATGTAAACAGCTGTGAAAGCTGCTTAGTTCCTGTCATGAACAGGAGTTGGTTACATCAAGGACAAAGAGGGCTTGCTGAATATTTATTTTTTAACTTGTAATGGCTTTCTGCCATTTTTTAGAATCTGATTTTCAGTATTATACCACAAAGTAGTTGGAAGTTTAAACCAAATGTTGTAAAATAAAAAGGTGAAGAATACACTGAGGAAGGAGACTTAACTGTACTTTCAGCAGTTTCATTAGCAAGTGATATGTCCAGGAATCTTGAGTATTCAGTATGTGATAGGCTCATGTGGTTGCACTTCAGGGTAACAGGAATAAGTTCATGAGGGCCTCAAGCTTAATACAGAGGCTGGTTCCCATGAAAATCTGCCAGAGAAAAGCTGGATGGCTGCAGTGATGTGTGTCGAAGATGGACATATGTTTGGTTACCGTTGCTTAATACACAGGTTGATGTGGCTGAAAAGGCTGCTCTCTGAAAGAGAGTTCATAGGTGCAGCTGTAGGTATGTGACCTGCTATTACTGAGTTCAAGAGGCTGTGCACTGACAAATGTCAAGGCTGTGTCTTTATGGGGCAAGTACCATCCCTTGTTCCCTAACTGTGGGGAAAAATAAACTTACAATTATTCTCTCTCAAGATGAGGTTGAATTTTCAGTACCATTTAAAAGGCCTACTTTCAGCAACAGCAAATTGCTGTTGTCAAGTCCTGAGATTTATTTCAGTTAAACAATACTCAGTTTTAGCTTCAAGCTCCTCTTTGGGTGACTAAACCGATGCTTCACTTCTCAAAACAAGTTTTTAGTACCTTTTAAGGGAGAAACTTGCAAATAAGGCATCATAGGAGTTACAAATAAAAAAATTATCTGTTGAGTTTTTGAACTGCAAAAACAAAGTACCCATGATTATACGGTTAGTCAGTGTTGCATGCAAGAGTGGGAGAGACTGATTCTGTGTCTGTCCACTCTTTTTTCCTGCCATTTTCCATACATCTGCTGGGACACAAGGGAAACAAAAGCAGTCATTTGAAATATGGGTGAGGAGGAGGATGTTATCTACTTGAATATTTTCTTTCTTCTACTCTTCTTGATAGACCAAATGGCCTTGCTTTCATTAGAGCTTATCTGCACCTCTCACTGCACTGGTGAGGGTCAAAATGATTGGAAAGTGATGCGTGTGAAAGAAAACTTTCTTTGGAGAAAGCTGGCACTGGCTACTCTTACAGGGTGTGCTGTGACTACTGCTTGTCATTGGGCTGATAGGACTATCAGTAGAAGCTATGTTTATTAACCAGAATCCAGAAAGTCCTGTGTCAATTATAAGCATATTGCTAAGTTGATTAATGAGCTCAGAACAGGGTGTTTACATGTACTAAACCACTTTATCAAGGTAGTGATCAAATAATAAATGTTATCCAAAAAGAGAGTGTCAGAGATAAGCACTGGTGAGAGTTTTAGGAGCTTAAAATTAGAAGTATGAACACAACGCTTGAATCTCACTGGGTTTACAGAGTTAAAAGTTACAAAGATTACTTGCTTGGCTCAACTTGCTCAAGTACAGCCACAGGGACTGGTACAAATAAAAGCATTAAGAAGGTCAGGTGAGGTAAAATCAGCTCAGCTGACAGCTAGTGTGACTTCTCTTCCTTAGTACTACTGATGTATTTCATTCTTGAGTTTCTTTTTATTTCAAATACGTATTTTGTAACCATACAGAGTTATCACTTGAGACAGATTTAAGCACCATGTGAATTCTAGACTGCCCTTGGTCCTCTGAAACTTCAGCAAATAAGACCAAGACCACAGGTTGTCAATTGTGTGTTATTTCTCAGATTGCCTTGAAATGCAGGTTTTTCACAAAAGACATTGTGCAGAATGGTGAACAGCAGTAAGTTAGCCCTTCTGCCTTGGGGGGGGTGTCTGTTTCATGTTGGTTTGGGGGGGGGGGGGGG